TTTGTTTTCTTTAGTGTGGTGCTTTTCTTGTCTAACTGTAAAACCAAACTCCCATGCAACTTGTGACTATAAAATCATACTTAGTACGGTTTTTTTACAAATTTTTTTGAAACTGAAAGTCAGTTTTTTTTTTTTCTTTAGCCTTGGAGGATTTCTTTTTTTCTGAGGTGACTGAGAAAGAAAAAAGTTTACAGAATTATATGGTTGACTTTGTGCATTTAAGTGAGAATGTGTTGGTTGGACTGGTTGAATTAGTTTTTTTTGATACTGAAAAATCCAGAGTTTAAGAAAAGTTCCATAATATTGCTTTTATCGTTAGTAACGCTTCGACTGTTGCGGTTTAAACCGCCATTTTTGTTTGATTATTTTAATGGCTTTTTTAATGGTTATTAATGCAGGACTTCTAGGTTTCATGAAAATACGACTCAGTAAGTTACCAGACGAATAAATAAATGAATAAATATAAATAAATAAATAAATAAATGAATAAATAAATAAATAAATAAATAAATAAATATATATATATATATTTATTTATTTATTTGTTTATTTATATATTTACTTTTTTATTCGTTTATCTAAATTACGTACGCCTGTTTCGTTAATAATCTTATTGTAGTGTTTAATTATCTTTTATTCATCTGCTACCCTTTTGCCGCTGTTTTTTTTCTGTCAAGTGTGTTAATTTATAATAAACATAAAGCACCCGGCTAAAGCAACCAACAGTTATGAAAATCGCAAAGATACATATAAAATAGAACTAATGAATTTAGAACAGCCTTCATAGGGTGTTGTAACGTTATTGGTCTGGATAGTTTTGAAGTTAGTTGATTACTGATGAAGAAACAGGAGCGGTTTTAATAGGTCGCAGTGTTTTAATTGGGGTTGCACCCTAAGAGTGGTGATATGAAATGGATGCGAGCCCGTCGCACCATGCTGTCGACTAAAACGGGGTTTTGTGAAACTGTATAAATGATAAAAACAGTTTTAAGTATACATCATCGAGACGTTGAGAAGTTTGTGGGTTTTTCTGGAACTAGTCCAGATGTGCAAGGCGGAATCGAGAACATTTTGTAAGGAAAAGAGCAAAAAGAGAAAATGAATGGGAAAAAGCACATTTTGATGAGGACGTCTTAAACCGTTGTAATACCGGAGAAGTTTCTTTTTCTCGTATCAGTAGATTTTGTTCGTTTTTAGTCGGTTTTTTACTTCTTTCACATATTTTTCGCTTGGGTAGTATTTTAAGGATTTATTGCCGTAGGTTACAGTTAGTTAAGAGTCAGTTTCGCTAACGGCCATCTTTGATGGCCTAGATATTCTTGCTGTCAGTTCCATTTCGCGTATCCCTTTAGGTTTTTTTGTCATCGTTACAGTTTTTTGTCGTACAGTAGTGCGTTAATTTTGTTGAAAGATTCGTCTGAATATGGTACTAGTATCAGGGGATGCTGAAAAATTAGGTATTCTGTTGTTGTTGCATTATTTTGAGCTTCTTTTCTCAGTAGAAGTGCAGAAGAGCAATTTCTAAAGTCATTTTGTGGGAGTTCTTGTGCAGTGCTTTTGACATTATTAGAGCACTACTTGATTGACCCTAGGCTAAAATTTTCTTATTAGGAAAGTGTAGAGTTTTAACAGTAGCGCTCCAGTGTTTTTTCCTGTTATTCTAGAAATTTGCGAACTTTTTTCTCCTGTAGTCGTAATTACAAGGCCATTTGTTTAAAAATAACCCATAAAGTATAGGTGATTCGTTAGATGTTATTTGTAAACTTTACAGCACATTCATTTCATACTCTGAGACAGCTTACGTGTTAGCAAGAAAGATTTTTGGTTTTGGTACAGTAGTGAAAGTAGAGGTAGAACCACAGATATGTAGTTTTTTATTTTCCAATTGATATTAAGATGTCTTTTGAGGGCAACTGTGAAAGATCTTTATATTGCGATGTCTGCAAACAGAAGGGATCTTATTAAAAACATCCGCAGCAAGAACAGTCGGTCGAAAAAAAGTGAAGAAGTGAGTCATAATAAATAATTTCATTTGGTTTCAATAATTGAATTTTCAATAATTAATGTTCTTAACAGGTAGAATTTTTTTATTCTGTTCTTTGCAGGATGAATTACTGGTATTTGGATATTCGTCAAAATTATTCAAGAACGATGAGCGTGCAAATTGGATTGAAGAAGAGCGGCATCTGATTCCTTGGCCTGGTGACCCGCAACTTTTAATTGATCGGTGAGTTTCCTGAATGTAAAAAGTTGAGCTTTGGCTCATTGTGCTGTGTGCCGTCACTTTGAAATAGGTTTAATATTGCTGTGTGGCTCCACTGTGGAAATATGAATCCAGTCCTTCCGAACTCTACAAGGTAAATTTTTATTGGTTTCTTTTTTATCTTTTTATCTTTTATTTTAATCTTCAGGAATTTAGATCTCCTGTTCTCCTTTTTCTACATTTGTTGCTCACCGTTGCTTGCTTTAAAGATTGACCATGAGTCACTAGATTTTTTCCTCTGGTGTAACATTTCCGAAACTGTTTGCAGTAATAATCTTGCGGATTATCATACTGTCTCTATCTTACTTCTTTTTAAACGGGATAAAGTCAAATATTTTACACAAGCTCTTTTGTGTGCTTATTATTTTGGTGCTTCAAAGTTAAAGTTAGAGTAAATTCTGACACTAGTAAAGCATTTGGCTGTGTAGAACTGACCGGTGAGTTTTCGCCTGCATCGTTTCGAAGTGTTGGCCTGTTACATCACAATGATCGAGAAAGTAATTTTCTATGAATTTTTATTTAAACTCGTACATCTGAGGAAGGTAAGTCTACAATGTTAGGTTTAAGTAATCATTCTTAAGAACGTGCCTTGTAACTGACATTGGCGCAATGCTGGGGGCTACTCATTTCAAAAAATTAAAATCTCACATTTTCTGAAACTTACAGAATTAACCGTAATTTTTCAATTGTGCTTTATTATTTTGCTTATTCACTATTGTTTTTCTTACCTGTATAGGATTGGCTAGTTTGTCTTTATCACAGTAATTTACTTATTAGGAGATTCTTTGGAAGCATGGTTCTTTTCCGTTATTGTATTTATGCAGTTTCAGGAGAGGGTGGTGCACGATTTCGAATGCCCATTTAAGGGTAACGCAAATATCTTAATGAGTGAGTCAAATGTAAACGATTGTTCTTCTGGCTTGTTTCCGATTGATAATGTTGTTGTGTGAGGCGTTTGGCTTTTGCTCTTGTTGATGCTTATGGGATCATGGCTTTTAAATTTTTCTTTCGCGATTGTGAGGCGAGAGAAAAGTTTGGACTTTAATTCGAGACTTCGTCATGAAGTATAGAATAATCCAACACGTTATTTGTTTGATTGCTACTGATATAATTATTTCGAATTCCATCATGGTTTCAGATACGATTGTCGGTTGTATTTAAATAGTCTGGATGAGTTTGATCTTGCGCCAGAAACGGACAGTGGTATTTCATCTATTGAATGCCCTGCTGAAGCTTTGGAGGAAGAACTGTGCGACGAAGAACGTTATAGAGATCTTCATCAGCAACTTAAGGAGGAAGAGGGTTTTGTTTTTTTAAACTTCCCGTAGCTCGCTGTATACCTTGAAGCGGCATTGTTTTTGCGCCAAATACTAACTTGTCTTAGAAGATATTTCCTCTCAGAATCACTTATGGCCTGCGGTCAAGTAGTTTTTTGTTTTTTACTTTACTGGTCAGGTTTGTTCTTTTAGTGGAAAAAGACAAAAAAAGAGGGGCAGAAGTTGGCTTTACCTATGATTGTGATAATGAAAAAACAGAAAGCAGTAGCAGCGAAGAGGAAGTTGAAGAACCTTTTGTACCTCCCGAAGATATAAAGCTTCCAGTGGGAATGAATCTGGTATTCCTTTCAGTATAAACTCTAAAACAGTATAATTTATTCACTTATTTTTTGATTTCGAGATGTTTACAATTTTTCACTTTTTATTATCGCATTGGAGACGTGTGAAGATCAGAGTTAGTTTAGCCAGATACAATGAAGCTGAATGCCGTAATTGAAAGAACGGCCACTTTTGTCGTCGCTCAAGGTCCTCAAATGGAAATTGTGATTAAAGCGAAACAACGAGGCAATTTAGAACAGGTAATCAAGTTTTCTTGACAAGTTTTGGAGTTTTTTTTTGATTTTTTTGTGAAGTCTTTTCTTGCTTTGCTTCTTTTTCTGAATTTGAGTCTTTTTCTACTGTTTTAGGATTTGGTCTTATTTTTTTGGGTTTTTAGTTTGCGGTTTCAGAAGTGAGTGTGAAGGAACCGCATTATCTTTTTAAGTTGCTGTGGTCTATCTGTACTTTTTCATTTTACTGTCTAACCTGACTAGTTTTAGTTTGGGTTCTTGGAATTCGACCATCCTCTAAATGCTTATTACAAATATATTTCAAAAATGATTCGCGAGAAGAAATATATTCCTAAACAGCATGTTCCCAAGAAACGCCCCAAACCAAAGAAGTTAAAACGTCTACAGGAAGAAGAAGAAATGCGGAAGCGTGCTGAAGAGAGTAAAGCCAAAATAGAAAACTCTGCTCTAGGACTTATAGCCGAAGGTGACTTGTTTATGTTCTTTGTGTATTTTGAACTGTATTTTGTGTATATTCTAGTTCTTGTATTGCGGTTTATTCATATTTTTTGGAAATATATTTATTTTAGCTCATGGATCAGAATCCGAGTCTGATTCTGATACAGATGGTCATTATTTACACCCTATTCTCCTCGGGGGAGGGTCGCAAAAGCAGTCTCGTAGTGAATCTCCAATGATAGGGCCAAAAACACGTGAAGAAGTGAAGGAGAAGGATACCCCGACTTCAGTTCCTGAGATTAAAGTGAACTATGAATTAGGGAAAGTAAGTTAGAAAGTACTTGTACTGAACTGGTTTATTTCAAACTTTCGTAGCTATTAAACTTGTTTTAACACTGATACTGCGTCAGTTAGATAACACAGTTCATTTTATTTTTGTTACATTGGAAACTTCGCATGCTATTGGTAATTTAGGGTAATGATATGTACTCCTCACTCTTTAAAAATTTGGCAGATATTGTTCAGTCTCGTACGTCTACTGCTTCTCAGTTTGGAGAGGATATGACTGAAGGGTAAGTTATGTTGATTGACTTTTTATTCGTAACTAGTGAACCGTATTTGAAGTGGCATCTTTTTTTTTCTTCTAAGGGGTGAAGTGGTTTTTTTATTTTAGCTATGAAGAAAATCTTCAGCAAACTGATGATTATGCAGAATGGTACCTTAATTTTTATGGTGAACCACCACCTGTTGCAAAACAGCCCGCTGTACTTCCTCCACCACCTGATATAACTCCTCTTGTAAACAGTGCCGCCGAATATGTCGCAAGATATGGGTGCCAGGCAGAGTACATGCTGGGTACTATTTTCTAGCATATTTACAATTAAATTTTATTCAATCTTAAAATAAGCGTATAAATTCACAGGTCGTAAAGACTCTGGCTGGGATTTTATACTTCCGTCAAGTCCTTATTATTCCTATTACCAATCACGAGTGAGGTATTTTGAATGGGTATATGCAATGGAAGCACATAAGGCTGCAACAGAAGAGGTTGATATCTGTGGTTTTTGGTGTCAGCAGTTCGTCAGTTAAAAGTTATTCAACAGTGATTTATTTATAAAATTTATCTGCAGGCAGCGATGAATGTTCAAAATATGAAAACAGGGATTGCTGAAGCCGTGGGTTCTGAAGCAGAAAGATTAGCTCGTAAGTCCTTTCTGATTTTCAGAAACGATCACATGGTTAAACATGTTGGCTAGTATTCCTTAGCTATGATTTTTATTTAGATGGTACTTTTGAAGAAACTGAAGGTTTTTCATCCGAGAATGGAATGCCTCAGAAAGCTCCATCGCCTACTGGTCCTCCTGTAGTTATGAATAGGAAAATGCGAAGACGAGGATTTCATGACCCTCCTAACGAGCAGAACATGAAGGCTCCGTCGAACGGCGTGGGCTTAGTGGAACCTCCACCTCAGGTAATCTTTTTTTCTTTTCAATTTGTTTTATTCCTTTTTTTAAAAATTTTATAGTACAGAGCCTTCAGATCTCAAAAGTACACTCGTCTCCAGCTCTTTTAAATGATTCTACATTATGTCAGTCTGGTGATGATTTTGAAGCAAGGAAATTGAAGGCCGCAGGTGGCCCGATTTCCTTTTCTTTGACTACGAATAAGACAGAAGACGCTATTCCTCCTTCAGCTAGGTAATTTATTTTGGATTAGATATGTTATCCCGC